CTTCTGTTTTGTTTCTTCTTGTGGTTCCTCCTATTGGTTCTGATTCTTCTTTACAACATGACTGATGTGAAAATAGTTTAATAGAAATGTATATCTATAACCTATATCAGATTGCACACCATCTTGGAGGCTTGGAGGAAGGGGGAGAAAATTTAAAACTCAAAAGCTTATGGAAGTGAATGTTGAAAACTAAAAATTAAAAAAAGAAAAGAAAAACCTGAGCAGATGACAACAGAGTTTGAAGGACTGAGTGGAAAGTTAGTGCTTATACAGTCAGGCGTCACTTTTCTTATTTTTGGACCCTAAGATGATAATACTAGTACATAATGAGAGAAGCTGATCATTGTCAGTATCTAGTTCCCAGGGAAAATCTAAGCTTTATTCCAAGCTAGCCTTCAGCTTCTGATCTTGGAGTGTAAACTTAAAACTCAATGCTAGCATTTTTAATGTGGAAATGAGCCAGCAGATTTTTGTCATTTACCAGTCTTAGATGAGCTGTGTCATTAATGACGCTATGTCATCCATCTTCAAAGATGATGCCATTGATGGTTCTTCTGGATATTTCTGACCATAATGACTAGTGAACCTTTTCTCTGTCTTGGCAATGGAAAGGCTATATATCCTTTGACTACGGCTATAATCAGTGTTTAATTGCAGTTTCACCTTTGCCCTGCATATGGCCATTCCTTAGCTCAGATGGCAACTCCCCTGCTTGTAAGTCAATTTATTCTGTCTCCTTACCCCAAGTATTGCATTTTATCCCCATTAAAGTAAATATTAAAGTTTTTATTTTATTTTTTTAAGATGAGCCCTATCTGGTTTAGCATATCCTCATAATCTTCGTGCTAATTCAGAAGACCTGAGAAAGTTATTTTTAACTATGTTGATGTGTGTGATATTTCCAGTACATGAAAACAGATCCTTGGGAAAAGAGGGGACAAAAAACATACAGCAGTGATCTGTTGTGCTTTTCTGTTATGTGATGTGTAACTATGCTATTTTAAGTTTAGAACTAGATAAAGAGAATTAATAGCAAGTCAGGACCAAATGTGCTTTGACTCAACTTCTCAAATTTAGCAGGTAAAGAGCTGTGGGACAGGAGCTTTTTGATAGTACACAAATTTTTTCTCATGTAGTTCATATGCACAGAAAAGCAAGAAAAGCTTCTGTTTTTTATGTTATCTTCATTTGTTATGACTTTCAAAGACAATGGATGGAACTTCTAAGTAAAGAAAAAAAAATTGCGTATTAAGTTGGCTCCCTGAATTGCCCCGTTGTCTGTGTTAGAGAAATCTTACTGTTCTCAGCAATAGGAACTGAACCTTCCTTGGAATAAAAACACAAGGGAGAAGTTATTTTAAATTGCTGTGTTTTATTAAGATACTGGCAAAATTTCAACATAGTCCTTACTGAATGAACAGCTTTAATAAATAAAATGTGAATGACTTAATACATGATTACAACTGAACTCACAAGTGAGCTGTAGAGCAACTTTGCAAATTGAAAAGTTAAACTTCTTAAGAAAATCATTTGCTTCAACTGATTCACTCCACAGAGAATTCATTGCAGAGAAATGTCATGAACAAGAGAATACAGCATGTCTGTCACCAAAGAGCACCCAGTGTAAGAGTTGACAATAACACATCTGTGGATATCTAACACAAAACGTCAAAAGTTTTATTATGAGGATTTCTTTTTCAAGGACGACAGCTGTGTCAACCAGGGTTCCCTATCCTGTTTCATATCTTCTAATTAGTAAGTAAGGTAAATAGTCTTACAAGTGGAAAACATGGAAATAGTGCCTGGTCCCTTTTAAGCTAACGTCTCCTTTTCCCTGGATAATCAGTTGCATTGCTGGGCAGCCCTAGGATTGTGTTGTTTTGCTACTAGCTCTGAAAAAGAATGTTAACTTTTACACAAGTCAAAGAACAAAACGTGTGTTTATCCTTCCAACAGGTTGTAGGTTATAGGCACACAAGGGGAGAAAACTGTTTTCTTCCTGGTGCAGTTAGGATCCAAAGAAAGATTTCCCTAAATTATAGGTACAAACAAAGCTGTAGTATCCCCTTTCTTGGCCTTTCTTAGGTGAGTGCTGAATGGATAAACAAATTGGGTTAAAGACAACTGGTAATTTCGATCAGTCTTCCTCATGGAGCTTCAGCAAATCTTTGCTGGGGGAGGAAGTATGTGAACCACAGCAGTCGTCTCTTAACCCTGGACTTCCTCTGCATCATGTCTATCTTGCTGACACACAGTGTTCCAACAGTGGAGTGGAGCTTATGAAAATGCAGTGTGGACAATACACCACTGTAAATGTGGTCAAAGTTAAACTCAGCTTTGACATCGTCCTTGGAAAAGGTCTGTTGCTTTTCAGGTGACCCTGGCTAATTGAATCAGTATTGATCAATGGCAGTTAATAACTTTTTGTTTCATTACTTTCAAGGACAATGGATGGCACTTCTAGGTAAAGAAAAGATATTTACACGTGTGAGTTTCCACTCACCTTTTTAGTGCAAATCTAAATGGGAATAACAGCACCAGGGTTTGGGGCTGTAATGTTACCGTACTTCAGATATTCCTCAAAACTGCGCATCTAAAATTCAAAACAAAGGAAACCATTAAATTGGGGATTGAATCCCTATGAAACTCACAGTGAAGAGCTTATAAGGAGTTTTCAGTAACTTCAGGCTAGGGGCCTGGAGTCTATTTCTCAAACAAACATTATAGTTTTTATTTAAAAAAAAAGGACTTTTTTTTTAAACTACCTCGTATTCTTTATAAAGCCTGTTTGGCCAGTAAACTGAAACTGATGCAAACTATGTTAAATTGCAAAAGGGATACTGCAGCTCTTTTAAGGATTGGTTGTACAAATTTCACCATCACCAAAATTACATGATGAGTAAAAATACAGAACACATAATTCACAGACTAAACTTCAGCATTAACAGTTAATAAATATATCCTATAGATACTTTTATATCTGTCTAGTATTTTTACACTGTCACCAAATACACCGTCATTAACTACGTGATACAAAAACGTTTAGATACCATTAGAGGGGTTCTTATTGCTTACGTCAGCAAGCAGCAAATAAGGGCACAGGAGTGTGAACCGAAGAGAGCTACTTTCTATCACCAGTGGCATGAAGATAAAACACTGCATCTCACAAAGCACTGCTTTTTGTCTAGTGTGTAGAATCAAGAGCAGCATAAATCAGATCAATAACCACTACTTTAATATGTATTAGAGAATTTTAAAGGACTTACCTTACAAATGGTTCCTAACTACTCTATAAATATGCATGTGGTGAAAATATGAACACTTGATATTTTTTACAATATTGGTTTATATCTTGATCACACTGAAACTACTGTTGATTTAATTTCTAAAGGGTTAGTTATATGAGAAATGTTTACTTAGACCTAGAAAACCAGACCCTTAGCAGACGTGAGTACTCATGCCAGTGCCAAGTCAATCTTTCTGCACACTAGGAAGAAGTGCTATCATGTGTGCCTCCCTTTCTTCCCCCTGCCATCTTCCTCTCAACCGAATAAGCTTAACCTAGTTACTCTGATCGAAGGTGGACTTTTCTTTTTAGTACACTTAATTAAAAGGATTAGAATATTAAATTTAGAGACCATCAGACTACCTACTTCAAGCTTATTGTACAGTTTGAGAAGAGAATAGAAAGGGTAAAGAAAATCCCACTGCCACCTCTGCTTTCTTGTTTCCTCAAATAATTTGATTTGAAACAGTAAGTATGCCTAATAGGATGTTAACAATGACATCCGAGGCTTCCAAACTCAACAGATAGGAGGTTTTCTGCTGTCTTAACACGTGAACTTGTACTCTGAAGAATGACGAAATGACTCCTGTGCTGCGTTCAGACCTATTGTTTTCCAACTCTTATCATCTTTCATAGATCTTATAAGAAGGAATAAATCCAAAATCAATAGGATACAAGCCTTATGTCTACTTAAGAATTCAAATATTTAGAAAATAAAATCTGTACATTTAATGACATGCTCATGTTAATCCACTCGTAGCTTCACTGGTGCGGTTAAAATGCTAGAGTCAACATTTTCTGTATTATCTGTGGTATATATTTAAATTTGTATCTTCCATTATATGCTTAGGAAATAGAATTGTAAACTAACTTTAATATGCAAACACATAGGAAGGCAAAATTTGCAAATACCACCCATTCAATAGCCCACAGAGATGATTCCTAGAATCCCTACAACTTGGTCACTATTAATTATTCTGTTGATTAGTGATTAATCATCAAGAGCTAATTCTACATAACATTAAACAATGGGTCTTTAGATATGAATGCCTATACCTTCGTTGGGTAAACATCATTTCTACATTTGATTTATTACTATTTCCTTTAATTATCCTGAGGTGGTTATGCCAACTTGTAAATATATAAACCCACTAATAACCAGGGCATTGAAAAAAAACCAAAAACTTGAACCATTTCGAGATTGATGTTAACAGACAGAAATCTCCAATCCTCTCCTCTGCATAGTACCAGAGTTCTCACTGAATTTGTAGCCATGCAGTTCCTGTCTAATTATTCTCCCTCATCAGTGTTTGGCATCAGGCTCATTTTAAGCAGTTTTCAGTCTGTCACCAGTTAGCTAGAGAAAAAGTTCCTAATGCTTTAGCTTCTTGGGTGGGTGTGTGGGGTACATGTTTTTTCATTCTCTTAACACTTTCATTTTATAGGAACAGATACCTTTGCTGTCCGTAAACTGAAACATTTGAACAAGTGGCATAAATTATTAGATTGGAGTAACATGATATTTTGAATTTTTAAGCTTGCCTGTTAATTCAGTACTAGCTGGCCAATTTTTACCTTGATAACATCTTGAAAAAATGAATTCCTTTTGACTCCTGAGATGAAGGTCCAATGAAAAAGGAGTTCATTAACATCATAGATTAAAATCAGTTGACAAAGTAATCATAAAATCTCCAAAAAAAAAAAAAAGCACCAAAAAAGATTCTGAAAAAGCCCCACAGGAAAAAGATTTTTTAAACTATGAAAGAGTTTTCAGGTTCAGCTTCTATGCCTGACTGTACTTCAATCTTTGTCTGAGAAGGGGAGACTTGACACTGGACTCCCACTTCCTGTGTGCCCCATTAAAATCCATATGGCTTTTAATCTTTTACCTACAAAGTGGATGTTTTCCTAGAGTTCTTTCCCTGGGAAGCTATTAATAAAAAAAAATAAAACCCAGAAATGAACCCAGGCTTTGGGGAACATTTTCTGTGCTAAACTTGACAATTCTAAACTAGGTTCTCTTCATATATATGTAAAAAAATATATGTGTGTGTCTGTGTGTATCTATCTACGTAGACAAACAGATACACGTAGACAGACACACATATATATTTCTCCACAGACATTTCAGCCAGATCAGAACAGTTTCCTGACTGTCTAATCAAATGAACAAACTAAGCCCTCTTCCACTAGTGACACAAGGAGGTGTGTGTGTTAGAGGTGTGGGTGCACACATGGATCCGTAGTTCAGGGAGTAGAATCACTAGTATTTTTAAGATTGAAATACTTTAAAATTTCCTAGAGATTATTTACACACAAGAATTGAGCCTTTCATAAAGTCATAGCATGATATACTTCATGTTTGTGAAATGCCCATCTTGTTTTCTATACTGATGATACTGTTTTATTGGGGGGGGGTGGAAGGGGAGGTATCTAACCTACTTTAAAGAAGAGTTGTTATATTTTACTGCTCCAGGGAGTGTCTGCATATGGTATACAATGACTGTTTCTAAGCATCCCCATCAGAATCTCACTGTACTTTTTGCAAGCATTTTGTCTCCATGGCAGAGAACTTCTTACCAACCTCCTATTTCTATTCCCACTTTGAATAAGTGAAGACAGGCTAGTTGTGCCTGCTTTGTGGGAAGGCTCATGAGCAAAGAGATACGTATGAAACTTTGGTTTGAGCCTGAATCCATGCCGTCTCTTTGCATAATAGTGGCGTAAATGAGAGAAACTAGAAACTCTCTTTCCCAGGGGTTCATTTTCCAACCCAGAAAAGACTGGAGACAAACTCTCCATTCTGTATATATGCTGCCCTGTTGAACCCAAATTGAGATAAGCAGGGTATTCTCTAGCGTCATGCTGTTCATGCACTGAAGACCGGACTGATTCTTTCTCCATGATTATATCATTAACAAGATTTGCTTTCTTTGGTACTGTAAGACCAAACATTTCAACTGGTGACCAAAATTTGGCACTCTGAGGTTTGCTTGCTTCTATTTTTGTGAGATCTAGGTAGCCTGCATCTTCAAGCACATTGATTTGGGACCCTGTGCTCAAGCTAGTTCTATCAGTGAATGAATCCACTCGCCCATCATAGCCTAGATCTGCCGGTGCTGAGCACTGGTGCTGAGGCCAGGGGCGTTTGCTTTCTCCATGATTTTCCTTATCATCCCCGCCATCTTCTTGACCTCCTTGAAAAGAGTTCTCTGTCCAGTCTGATTCCTCACTAACATTTATAGCTTTGTTCATATCCCTTAGGAATACCACAATGACAGTGATATTGTCACTTGACCCAGCATCACGAGCTGATGCTACCAATTTGTGGGCAACCATGCTGCTATCTCCATTATTTTCCTTTAGGTGGTCGGCCACAACCTTCACTGCCTCATCGGGGTTCACGGTATCGTAGAAGCCATCACACGCTAAAATGAGGTAGTCTTCAGACCCGTCCAAAACAGTGGAGGCAGAGTCTGCGTCCCCACAGATATATGGCTTATGCTCAGCATCTCCTGTGGGAATTAAAAAGCAGATATGGAGGGGAAAGGCTTTATTTTAGCCTGATTTAGCAACAGAGTTACTAAGTGACTCTATAGTAACATGATAATATAGACTCACAGAAATTTATAAAATACCTTCAAAAGTATTTTATTACATTGATCTATAAAACAGATTGCTTGTCACCACCTATGTAACACAACATCCAGACCATCCTGGAGGCATTCTTTTTTTTAGCTTAGACTTTCAGCCCTAGGCCATTACCTCCATAGGTAGGTAATGACATTTGGGCCGGTTTTCTGTCCTACAGATGAACTGCTAAGAGTTATTGAATTTTAGAACTAGAAGGAACTTCAGTCCAATTCCCTAATTTTATAGGTGGGGAAACTGACCCAGAGAGTTTAAGGTACTTAACTGCCTAAATGATAGGTCTGACCATATCAGCCCTCCCCACCTCCCATTCCCAATTCTGGTGGTTCTCTGTTACCTCCAGGATCAATGTCAAGTCCTTTGTTTGGCATTCAAAATTTCGCAACTTGACCTCTTCCTACCTTTTCTTAATTTTAACACTCCTCTATATACTCTATAATCCAGCCGTACTGGTTACCTTGTTCTTTCTTGTACCCGACGTGTCATCTCTTATCTCCCCTTCCCTGAAGCAGTCCCTTTACACTGGGCCGTTTTCCATGCCTGGAATGATTTTTCTCCTAAACGCCATATCTTAGAATTCTTGACTTCCTCCAAGATTTAGCTGATATGCCAGCTTCTATATCCCATTTGCCCCAGCTGCTAATGCCTTCCCCCTTTAAGACTACCTTCCATCTATTCTATATGTGTCTTGTATGTATAGCTAGCTCCCTTTTAGTGGCAATAAATTAATTCCCTGAAGTGAATCCCTTGAAAAGTTTGCATGTATTTGAATTCGGCCTATTTGAAATTATAATTATGTATAATATGGTAATTGGTTCCAGCCCAATGGAAATATTCAGTGTGAATTTCACACTGATTGGGACTTAATTGTCCCTATTTATATGTTATCTCCCCCATTAGAATGTAAGTTCCTTTCACATAAATAAATTGCTCATAGAATGAATGACTTTACAAGTTGGTGGTAGAATTGGAATTAGAACCTAGGTCTCACAGTCCCAAAGCAAAGCTCTTTCCGCATAGTTTTGAAGACTTGAGAGTACCATAAGATAGAGGAAGGCAAAACGTCCCTCTCTCATAAGAGCCTTAATGTCAGTGATAAGCCACATCATGATCTCCATTCATCTAATTTTAGAGAACCTAAGAGGTACACTATATGTAGGAATCCTTTCAGATATCTATCCCTGCCACCTTACCTTCATTTAAACATTTCCAGTGGCAAGGAACTCATCCTGTTGCACCGTTGGACAGCTTTAATTCTTAAGTTCTTGATTATACCAAGACAAAATCTGCTTCCCCATAATTTCCACCCATTACTTATAGTTCTTCCTTCTGAAGCCACATAGAGCAAGTCTGTTCCCTAATCCAAAAGTTAGCCATTGATTTGAATCCAGCAGTCAGTGCTCCTAGGTTTTTTCCCCCTAAAGTTAGAGGTGAGTTATTTCTGCTGTCCTCATATGGCATGGTTTCAAAACCCATGATGATAGACATTCTTTATGTGACAGCCCATGAAATATTTTTAACTATCATTCCCCTTTGCCCAATCATTGTATACCTGATCTCAAGGCTTTTCGTCACCCTTGTCACTCTCCAGGTTTTGATGGTTGTTCCTACAATTTGTGGTCCAGAATTTAACATTATGCAGTCACAGTAACACTGGACAACATTATGCCCCTGATTCAGGACTGTGCCTCTTACTGCAACCTGAGATCACATTACCTTTTTTGATTTCCACATTGTGTTAGTGACTCACTTGGAGCTTGCAATCCACTAAAACCTCCAGATACTTATTATATAAACTTTTAACTACCTGTGCCTTCTCTATCTTCTGTTTTTGGAGTGAATTTTTTTTCCCTTAAAGCATAGCACGCAGAACAACACAATACTCCCAGTGGGCACTATATCTTCTTATCAGGGCAGAGTAAAACATGACTGTTGTGTCCCTATCCCTAGACACTATATAACTATTACTGAGGCCTAAAATCCACATAACATTTTCAGCAGTCACATTACACTGCTTTTACACTTTACACACTTTACACTCATAATAAACTTGCAACCTAGTAAAACCCCTGACTTTTTTCACATGAATCACTGTTAAGCTTCCTCCCCTATCTTTTTGCACTTGTTTCCTTTAATATAAGTTACAAGACTATTGCTATTAAAATTCATCCTGTTGGATCAGACCCATTGTTCTACCCTATCAAGATATTTTGTGAATGTCAAGCCTGTTAACTGTTGTATTAGCTAGCCTACCCATCTTTGAGTCATTAATAAATATAATAATGCTTTTCTGTCTACATAGAAGCCATTGGTTTGCTGCTTTTCCATGATTAATTTGGTTGTTCCTCAAGGCTTGTCCTACTCTAATTCTCTCAAACAGCTTATTGATCCATTCATGGTCTTAGTCACCACCTGTGACGACTATCACGTCCATGACTGCCAAATTTGTTCCCAGCCCTGATTTCTCATACCTTTGATGGTTTCACGACTGTGTATTAAACAGGTCTACTTGGCTATTTTAACACTTAAAATTCATAACATCTAGCATAATGTGCTTTATATGTCAAAGATGACCAATAAATATTTGTTGAATGACTAGAATTCTTATACATACTATTAAAGTAGAAAGAACCTTTAGTCTAACCCCATGGTTTCACTATACCATGATATCATGCAATAAAAATCAAGGTCATTTAGATCACTACTATACACATTCTTACTCCCCTAAACCCCTCTGAATTCTTTACTATTATTTTCACTACTAGTCATACTCTCACACCCTCAACTGTTGGATACTTAAGACATTTATGTCATTTTTACCTTGAAGCCACTGCCACATCCTATTTTTTCTGTCCTAATATTTCTCAAAATCAGCCTTTTGTATTCATTCCTACAAGCCTGACCAGATCCCCTCACTGTGGCACAGTGGATTAATACTGGGCCTGGAGTCAGGAAGACTTGAGTTCAAATCTGGCCTCATGACACTTACTAGCTGTGTGACCCTGAGCAAGTCATTTAATGTTTGTTTGCCTTATTTTCTTCATGGAGATAATCACAGTACCTACCTTGCAGTGTTGTTGTGAGGATTTACTATGTTGGCATGTAGTAAATGCTATGTACCTGTTAGGTGTTACAGTTATTATTGTTAATATCTGGCCTCTCCTTCCAATTAGTACTACATCGAGAGCCGGAATCCTCTTCCTCAGTGATCCGAAGACATTACTTCACTTTTCAGAATGCAACGTTAGCTCCCAGTTGTCTCAGTTTTTACTCTCATTAAAACTCCCAGTCATGGACCTTCCTTCAATGGCCTCTATGGATCTCTTCTGAAATTCATCAGCCCCCACCATACCTGACTGTATTATTATCATCATTATCATTTGCTGAATTCCAGCTCTAAAAATACATGTGATCTGACTCATACTGTTCCCAAATTCTCATTGTAGTGCTTCAGTTAAAGGTTTACTGCAACTGTTACTTTGGAATGAAGCATAAAAAGATCTGTGCCCGGCAAACTCTGCCAAGAGCCTGGCTTTTCACCTGCTCTTGTGTGGGGTGTATCAAATTCACGACATTTCGCCCCCAAACTTGGTAGGAGGGCATGAATCCATCTCATGCTAGAAGTAGCATTAACCTTTTATCTTCGAGCTACCCCCTTTCTCTACCATGGAAACTCAACATGCCCTTGTCAACCTCCTATGTCTGAAGGACTCATAACGAGGAAACAATTGAAAAGGATTTCATTTCTGAAGATGCAAATTATGTTTATGTTGAAGTAGAAAACATTTTTCCCCAATCCAGAAAAACCCTAGTAATCATGTATCATTCATTTAAGACCAAGGAGAAATATGTTTCTAGTTTCCTTCCTGACTTTACTCCTTTCTATTTCCATTTTGATAGGCTGGTTGGTTCATTAACAAGTATCAAAGATTCCTATGCTTATAATGTATCTGAAGATGATTCACAGGATGTCTGATACTTCTGGAATCAGATAGATTTGATGCAGAACATATTCTAGAAATGAGATTTTTTTCCTTGAGGCTTTTTATTCTAGAATCCTTTACTAACTGTAGTTAGAAAGAAATGCATTTCCTCTCTCTTACTTGCTGCTCCCCACATTTGGGCCCTTCAACAGCTTGTTAACACCTCTACCAAAGAGTAGGCAAGAGGGAGGGGAAGCTCAGAGAATCCTTTTAGCTCCTGTTAACAGCCTTGGAATGGGAGAAGGTTAAAATTAATGAGTGAAATTAGATCGGGGGATTGTGTATAAATTTCATTTATCTTGTCCCTCTGCCCAGTTCCTAGGGAGGCTGGCTTTTGTCACTACAGCCTCGAAAGTGAGTAAGTATCACATATACTCAGCTGAAAGAAAATCAAGACAAGTAGGATTCTTTTTAAAATAAAAATTACAAAATCATCTTACAAATAAAAAAATAGATGCTAGAGAACATTGTAGGCTATTGTCAGAGTCATTGCTGTGACATGGATAAGCAAGAGTTTGGCCACACAGTATTAGCCAATTTTACTAAAGTGTGAAGCCTGAAATTATGGGCTTAGTGCCCCAAGTGAATGCATGTGATTTCCAGGACTACATACAACCCAGGTTCTTCCATTTCGCAGCCTTTCATTATGCCAGCAAACTCAGCTGCCTCCTCCGCGGACCATATGATTTAGGGTGAGACAGTTCCATTTAACTTACCTTTGTTCCCCCAAGAGGCTCAGATAGGTCAGTGGAGTAGGACACTAAAAGGTTTCATAATAACTAGCCCCAAGGTTATCCAGCAAATTGTCATAATAAACAAACTTAGAAAGAATTTTCCATCTAAAACACAAAGTGTTTTCTGATGGTTACCTCTTGTTTCCATTTTTATTAAACCTATTCATGCTTAAGTGAGGACCTCAAAGAGCAAGTGCTACTGTCGGCCAGGTTTACCTGCTGGTTCCAAAGTCATTTTAGAGAGCTAGAAAACTGACATTTTACCCTTCATGAGCTGTACCTACATGTTTCAGTTCTGGTCCTAAAGCTCCTCAAAAAACTTAGAATAATTAAGTTGGAATGCTACTGGAATTCTTTCTTGCTTCCCATATGCCAGATAATTCTAATATACTTTTTAAAAAATTAAAATATTTTTGTTAAAATTTCTTTTCATTCACTGAGGGCAACAGTCAGAGTCTCTTAGAATATGGTAGAATAAAAATAAGTAGGATATTTTTAAAACCAGGGGTTGCTTAGTTGAAGTGCCATAGATGAGTCTACATGAGGTAAAAGATGTGGTGTCTAGCCCTATGCCATCATCCTGTGCGTCAGGGAAACCCGGGACTGTGCATCAGATGAGAGAATGAGATGAAATGAAGAGGCAGCATGATTTCAAGCAGCAGCTCTTTAATATGAGTCACAGGCTGCTTTCAATAAAGAAAACAGCAGACCTGTAGGCCCTACGTGCTTAGGGGTTGTTTTTTTTTTCATTTTGATAACAGAATTAAACATAAGCCTCCACAGACAAAAGGATATGAATCGGTAATTAAAAGTAAGAGAGACATCCTTTAATTGCTGTTTAAATGGTACCATGAGTTCCTTCATAATGAGAATTGTATTGTCTCCAGTTTCTCAGTGGTATTATAGTGAACGAGTAGGGGGTAAGTGAGCATGGGGGCACGATGGAGAGCCTTAATGAGTTAAATAATTTCTTACCAATAGCTCTTGAGACAGACAGACTTCCATTCACTCTCCAGGCCCCAAACCAGACCACACAGCCTCCAAGGGCCTCAATTCGTTGCTTCTCATCCTAAATCACAGTGTAGCACATAAGAGAAAAACAGAGAATGTAACATCAGCAGGCCCTCTGGAAGTGGTACGAATTAGAAGAAGGAATGTCATTCAGTTGCCATGAGGCAGACATGACATATAGCCATTTCCTGGAAAGATTCTTTTCCTTTTTCCAGGGACTTTATGGGGCTGGTTGCTGGGAAAATGATAATTATTATAATAAAACATAATAGCATGAATAGTTAGCTGGAAAACAGACTGGATTACGGCCAAAAGGAAGAGGCCCTGCTCACCTCTCTATCCGGTTTATGCGGCTTCATTAGTTCTACGGCTTGGCCCTTCCTCACAAGCATGACCTGAGAGTCACCCAGCCAGGCTATGTGGAGCATGTTGCCTCGGATAAATGTCACCACGCCTGTGGTCCCACAGCGTAAGCTCTGAAAATGGTGAATGCAAAGCCAGTATAAACGAAGATCCAGAGGCACTGAATTCTCATTGAAAGGTAAATCTACACTCCTAGCAAGTGAGGAATAGCTGAACTATTAATAATACTTTATATTTATGCATCATACTTTTAAAAAGCATTTTCACGTGTATTATCTCGTTTGATCCTCATAAGAACCCCTGTCCAATGTCATACAACTAAGACCAGATCTGGAACGAAGTTCTCTATCCCTCAGGGCAGGGCTTTTCCTACTGTGTCATGTGTCTCACAGGCACTACTGAATCATTTGGTCAGAGAAAAATCATAGCCTCAGGTCCCATCATTTGTAAAATTATGATTTATAGCATTTCACTTGAAGGGGGAAATGGAGCCAATGTTTTGATGCATCTAGATGCAATATATGAAAGGGCCTAATAATTTTTGTATTCCATAGAGTACTATGGTTTATACTCTTAGCACAAAGCATGTTCGGAGACATGCACAACTACAATGAAACTTATATGAAATGTTTTCTAGAGGCCTAGGTTTTGGTAATATTACATGCAGGGAAGCGTTGACTTACAATTACTATTGCATTTGTAATTTGAGCCCTAGGAGAAGCAAGGTCTTCTGATTCCCACGTCTCTTAAAGATGCTGATGCTATTATCAGACCAACCCAACAGATCCATTTGACTTAAGTGACCCACGTATCACAATTTTCTATCACTCTGAATTAGACCTAACAAGACATAGGTGGCTAAAGGCACATCTGTCTTCTCCCTTCCAATATCCCCTCCCCATTGCCCATCATCTACATGGGGAAAATGCATTGTTTGTTATAAATCCTCACCCACCAATAGAATGTCTTCCCACACAGAACATTCAGATAATTCATCCCCATTAGTACAAATTATAAAGACATTTCACCGCATATGCTCTGGAGAGAACAGGAGGCTGGGCTGTTTCACAACAGGAATAGCTACTTTTTTTCTCAGCAGTTAACAGCACATGGAAGCACAAGAGGGAACTTGCTGTGTAAGATCTAAGTTATTTAAGGTCACAGCAAATTGTTGGGGAGACTGAGGCACGCTGGAACTTCAGACAAAATAAGTAAGGGTGGATACAGTCAAGATTATTGTGTACTCTTGAAGAAATGGAAGGATATGGGGGAGAGAAAAGACCTCAAGGCACACTTGGTTTCAGGGATGGGGTTATCTCCAGATCACTTGTCAAGGTATCATGTTCCATGCTCAAAGCAGAGGGAGAATAACCATAAGAGGAAAAGCCAGGAGGCTGGGGTTTTCGGGAGGTTTAGGGGATTAGCAGCCAGCACAAAGTATAGTGTTCAATCAATAAAACATTTTATATTTAATCTAGGGTTTGTTTAATTCATCTTTTTATTTTATTTCCCATTCTCATATACCTAGTTCCTGGGACATAGTGGGCAAATCCTTGTTGAATTGAATTGAACTGACTGTAATTGTAAACAGGTCTAGTGACTACTATCACTGGATTTGCATTTAACCTAGGCAGGTCTTAGGATCATCAGAAGAAAAGGAAACACATGCTCATCTTCGGTGGGACCCTGAGGTTCACTAGCACACAGATCATCAAGAATTCTGGACCACATTCTGAGTTTTCCTACTGGTTTGCTTATGTGAGTTTTCTGAACTGAAATGGGTAAAATGTTCATGCACACCCCACACTCAGCCCATTCCAGGAAAGAGTTAATGTTTCATTTAGGAGAGAATCATTTTCTCTCTGTGCAATCAATTTCTTTAAGAAAAAATTATTTATTTTTCAGTTCGTTCTTGGTTAAGACTTCCAGCATTCAGGGTTATAGTTAATTATATACCCATGGCTCAAAATGATTAATCAGGGTGAAGTTCCCACTGTTTATCCTAATATCTCATTTATGTTGTTCAGAGTCAGTAAATATTCAGGCCAGTAAATGTTTAAATAGTGGAAATCATTACAATAGAGACAACAACCTCAAACTTTTTTTTTATTCTGGCAAGAGGAAATTTGGTTCTTAAGTCATTTGAGACTAATAATCATTGAGATCAGACTAATAGGGTGAGTAATCCCAATAGATTACGGTAAACTGTAATCCCAGTTCTTCTCCAAGGCTCTTAACATAGGAAACTAAAGTGGTCTCTGCCACTTATTTACAGTTTGCTGACTTAATGACCATATTCAAACTTGGTAGCAACAGAAAGGGAAAGAAATGATTATGGTATGACTGACAGACATTGGTGATTAAGAAAGTAAAAACTTACCTGACAAATCTAGTGGTAAGAAATTGCTAGAAAATCATAGCCCAAGAACTTCTACACAGTACGCCTAAAATTACCCTAAAGTTAGGACTGCATTCACGAACCACTAACTCACTTAGCATGTTCTGTAAATTGTATATGGTAAGCCAGAACTACAATGGAATTCAAGGTGTTGCCTTAGGAGTAGAATCCAGATGAGAATGCCCAGGTGTGTAAATACCAAGATTGGGGGTGGGAAGAGAGGCGGTGCTAAAGAAAGCAAAATCTGAATCTAATTAGCCCTTTAGTCACAGACTAAGTCAAGGGTGGGGATCATGCGGAGGCCATGTGTGGCCCTCTAGGTCTTCAAGTACAAGCCCCCTGACTGAAACCAAACTTCACAGAACAAATCCACTTAACAAAAGGATTTGTTCTGTAAAACTCGGACTCAGTCAAAAGGTCATACCCAAGGACCTAGAAGGCCACATGTGGCCTCAAGGCCCCAGGTTCCCCACCCCTGGACTAAATGAGTAGACCTGGCTAGTATTTTTTTTTTATTTTGTGTTTCAGGGCAAAAATGATTCTCCTTAGGGCCCACGACTGCTCGTATGAAGAAGTTACAAACCTCCCTGGCTGCTTTCTGCACAAAACGCTCATCAGTCACCCGGAAGGCTCGGCAGAGTGCCTCTGCAGGGTCATGGGGGAACATTTCCTGGCGTACTAAGTTCACATGGAGGTGGACAGAGGCATAAATGGCAGCATCTACCCCACCATGCCCATCAAACACTGCAAAGTAAGCTTGTTCTTCTTGATCCTGTCAAAGGAAACAGAGCACACAGGTGATTATTGGATGTGTTGAAATCAGATAAACTACCATCCTTAAAATTCCCATTATCCATTCTCCTCTTCCTCTATGTCCCCGCTCCCCCCAAAGTTAGTTGCCTCCACAACAAGATGAAATGTTTCCCTTTTCCTAGCAACTGCTGAAAGTACCTGCAATATCAGGGCATTTGTGTTTCCATCTCAGCACATTGGAATACACATGCCCAATTAGATCAGGCAGAACTGCCCCCTTCTTTGGAAGTTTGCACCATGGAAACCACCCACACACATTTGCTTCAAACCTTCCTCATGCAGCCAAAGCAAAAAAATACAAATAAACAGCACAAAAAGGCAATAAGTAAATGCCTTTATGGATTGAGGACATTAAAATAACATTAAAAAATAAAAACCTATATAGAATGTAAACCATTGGTATAACATATATGTAGATATGTATATTATACAGACACACTTCATGATACCAGAATTCTCACCATATGAGGCCCAAATTCTTTAAATCAGCTTGCAATCTAGCCCCTTTGGTCACAATTCATGCCAGATGGAGTTCACTCTGTCCTTGCTTTGTCTTGACATTGTAGAAAAGACAAGGATGTTCAACCACCAGATTCTGGTTCTCGGCCCATCCCAGAAGTTTGTTCTTTAATCATGGCACTGCGGCTAAGAGGCCAGCCTTGGAATCAGGAAAAGCTGGGTTCAAATCCTGCTTCCAAGACATACTAGCTGTGTGATACTGGCAAGACACTTAATCTCTGCCCTAGGCTAAATCTACAGATTATAGAGGAATTACTGCCCTGTAGCCATACTGGGAGGTCCCCACACTGGTGATCACAGGTCTGGACCAAAAATCAATTCTCATCTGGAGAAGAGATTAATGTTTCTTTGGACTACTGGTTTCCGGGCTTCCTTGCCGAGACATTGTGATTTCAGCTGGCAAATCTTTTTATTCCTGGGACTTGGGAGAGCTGGAGTTTAGTGCCATCCCAGTCACTCATTTGTTGTATAACCAAACTGCTTGACTTTTTCCATGCCTCCATTTCTTCCATCTGTTAAAAAGGAATGAGTGATATGAAACTTCTAGAGATGTTGTGAGGATCCATTAAAATAATAGTTTGGGAAGGGCTCTGAAAATAGAATGTCTTTTTTATCCTTACCTTTTTTAATATAGACCAACCTCTTTTTACAAATTTACTCCCTGAAGAGAGATCCAAAATGTATCCAAAAAGGAATTTAGACAAACTTATGAATGATTCAATTAATAAATAGGAACTCAGATCTTATAGTGGGCATCCTTCTGCATAGAACATTCCTGGAGGCCTCTGTTAGCAAAAGGATATAAGACAGAATGGACTGTGGATGGTTTTAATGCAGAAGAAGAGTTCCTATTTCCATGTGATTGTAGACAGAGAGGGCAGCAGGATCAAATTAAGGTGTATTTTTAAAAGATTCTTTTTTAAGATTTTTTTAAGATAAGGGCAGCTATGTGGTGCAGTGGATAGAGCACTGCTCTGGAGTCAGGAGGACCTGAATTCAAATCTGACCTCAAATACTTACTAGAAAATTTTTTTTTTAGGATAAACATCTTTTTAAAATGCTTGATGGCAAGGAAGAAGGAATCAGTTAAGACACTGGAGGTGCTAAGGAGAAAAATAATACTTAAGGAGGCAAGACTTGGAAGTGGGGAGGTGCAATCCAGAGGAAAAGAGTATGGATATCTTTGAATAGGAGAGAAAACAGCATTGCCAGACCAATCTTTCTAAAACAGCTTACATCATGTCATTCCCTCTACTCAGGAATTCCCTATCATTGTCTAAGGCCTACTAAGGCCGGCAAGGGTAGGGAAGGAATGAAAAAGCACATATTCTGTGAGAAGTCTCTGAAGTTTGAACACAGTCCTTCCAAACACAGAGTTTCAGTCCTGGACTGCAAGTCACATCTACAATATTTTAGACTAAATCATTCAGGACCTAATTCTGGGCTCTTTATTGACATCTGTAAATGGCTTGCATTTAAGAGGCTCATAAACAGATTCTCATATAGATTTACCCCGCCATTATAATTATAGTACATCTTTTAAACTGAGTATCTCAAAGCATTCTGCAAAATGAGGTGAAATCCAGGGGATTTGAGGAGGCAGCATGATACAATGCAAAGAATGCTAAATCTGGAGCAAGGGAATCCAGGGATATAACTAGCAATTCAGGCACCCAGGACTGGCAATGTGGAATTTAATAAGCTTTTTTAAGACACAAATTCAACCTTGAGGTTGAGGATTGAGGACACCACCTCATGGAAATAGATCTATCCAAGGTCAGTCCAGTGACAGGGGAGAGATATATTGAACACAGGTCTTCAGATTCCAAATCCTGTGTTCCTTCCATCTTTGTTCAGTCATTTCAGTTGTGTCTGACTCTTCATGACCCCATGTGGGGTTTTCTTGGCAAAGATACTGGAGTGGTTTGCCATTTCCTTCTCCAGCTCATTTGACAGATAAGGAAACTGAGGCAAACAGGGTTAAGTGACTTACCCAGAGTCACCCAAGTGATATGTCTGAGGCCAGATTTGAACTCAGGTCCTCCTGACTCCAGGCCTGGCACTCTGTCCACTGAGCCACCTAGTTGCTTTATTATTGTTGTTGTTGTTGATGGTCCTTCATTTTCGGAGAAGCCCAGTGACATCACAATGTTGGAGTCAGGGTACGGTGTGTTTGTCTGTGGCTGATCAGTCCAATACAATTTGGAAGGCATGACCGCAGATCAGGCACAAGTGCTCTGTTAGAAGATTTAGGGTAGAAGTGGCTCTGTATAGCAATCAGAGCATACTTAAAATAACACTGTCCCTTAGAGTTCATAGAGTTATAGATAGAATTGGAAGTTATCTTAGTATGTCTCTTTTCTTTAGATTATAAACTCCTTGAGAGTGGGATCTGTGTGATGGGAAATTCCTATCCTAGTACCCTTGTACTGACTTACCAACCTGGCAGATGGCAAACAGGAACAGGGTGAAATTTTGAAACACTGGTCCAGGGCTGATGGTGAATCAAGAAATGAAATCAAAAGTGGCAACTGCTTCAGCAAACAGCGCCAGGAGCCTCGAATCAAAGAGCAGTCCCAATCTGTATGGGCCATGGTGGCAGTTATTGTCACACATGGGTCTTTTGAGCCATATATGCATGGAGTTGAGTCACCTCAGAAAACAACCAATCTAGTCACATTCTTGTGCATACATGGCTGGACTGTACCAAACATCTGCTGATATGCCTTTGGACATACACACAAGTAATCAACCTTGACAGCCATCTAAATATGTGAAATATTATGATTTATAATGTTTTAAAGTGATATTCAGATACAAATTGGAGAAAAGAAGAATGGCAAGGGATGAGTAAAAGAAAAAAATCTACTTCTGTATTAGTTCATTATGTTTTAACAGTAAGAACTAGGAGACATTAACAGGAAAATGTTTATTAAACTGACATGGATAATAAAGACCCAGTTTATCAATTACATCTTTTTCAAGTGGAAGCCCAGCTACTTTCTCTTCCTTAGGTGTCTCTCTCTCTCTCTCTCTTTATATATATCTATATCTATATCTATATATATCTATATATCTATATATCTATATACACACATATACACACACACACACATATATGTGTGTGTATATGTATTTTAAAATCACATTTTATTTTTCCCCAATTATATGTAAAGATAATTTTTAACATTCATTTTTTAAAAATTTTGATTTCCAAATTTTCTCCCTTCCTTCTTCTCTTTCTCCTTCCCTGAGACAGCAAGCAGTTTGATATAGGTTATACATGTACAATCATGCAAAACATATTTCCATGTCATCCTATTAAAGAAGACACTGACCAAAAGAAAAAAAAGCACAAAAAATGCACAAAAAAGTGAAAAATAGCATGCTTCGATCTGCATTCAGACTCTATCAGTTCTTTCTCTGGAGGTGGGTAGCATTTTTTATCATGAATCCTCTGGAATTGTCGCCAAGATATATTTTTTAAAATCACAGTGGAGTCAGAAATAACTCAGCTAAGAGAGCAGTATGTTGCTTTCTCAAAGTCAATCTCATGCAAAAAGGGTTAGCAGGATAACCAAGACAAACTTGTCCGATTTCCATAGGGCTTAAAGTTGATATGTAGAAGGTGTCATTTTGATAGTCTATGTGGCTCTTTGAACCAAAGCCGGAGTTGACAGAAAGTTCTAAGGAAGTATATCTACACAAGAAAGATAGAACCTGTAATCAGCAAAATCACAGATTGAGCAGAAAAAAAGGGGAAAAAAGCCCTGTGAGACTACAAATACAAAAATGACAAAAAGGAAAATGTTAATTGTTGGAGAGACTGATGGACAGAAACATGACAATTATTGGTGGAAATATGAATTGCTCCAACTATTCTGAAAAGCAATTTGGAATTATATCCAAAAGTTGCTGAACTGTGCAGACCCTCAGTGATACCATAATAGGCTTAGACACCCAAAGATGTCAAAAAGGGGGAAGGGCTACTATGTACAAAAATATTTACAGCAGCACTTTTTGTTGAAGAAAAAACTGGAAACATAGTGAGAATAATAGAGAATGAATAAATTACATATACAATAAATTAGAGTATGTGGATATAATGGAATGTTGTGGTGAGAAATTATAAGAGGTAGATTCAGAGAAAACCTGAGAAGATGTATATGAACTGATACAGAATAAAGTGAGCAGAACTAGAACAATTTATACAATGACAATACTTTTCAAAAGCTGAAAGACAAAAGAACTTTGATCAATGCAAGGACCAGTCTTGACTCCAGAAGACTAATGATTAATCATGCTTCTCACTTTTTGGCAGAGAGGTGGTGGGTGCAGAAAGTGACATACAGAGTGTCTCATTTTAAGCTTAAAACAGCTCTTAGATTTTTGGGATGTCCTGTATTTTCAGACACAGCCAATGTATCTATTTGTTTTGCT